GGATCTGTTGTAACTTTAAGCCACAGGAAACTCATGTCTTAATCAAAATTAAGTCAATAATACTTCCTGCTCAAAAAAAGGAAAGTGATCTTTTTACTTTTCCCAAAGCAACAAGGTCCTATTGCACCGCAGGAGGGCCAGGAAACCTACGTCTTACCAAGTCAGTAATACTTCCTGCTCAGAGTGATGTTTTTCCTTTTTTTCTAAAGCAAGGCGGTGTAAGGCTTGGCTAGAGGACTCTAACACTCCTACAGAAAACACATGTAACGTTACGTACAATCACACACACACACACACACACACACACACACACACACACACACACACACACACACACACACTCTCTCTCTCTCTCTCTCTCTCTTCCTCTCTTTTTCTCCCTTTCATTCTCTCCCTCTCTCTCTATCTATTTCTCTCACACACACACACAGTTCAAACCATGAACCACCCATAACCCCTGATTCCGCCCCGTTCCCATGGTAACCGCCAGACAAAGCCGGCTGTCCGCTGGCCTGCTTCTCTCCGGGCGAAATCCGACCAGGTGGAAGAATCCCTGCTGACGTCACAGTCTTCAGTTAATAACCGGGGTTCGAATTCCGTGTGTGGGAACAGGGGTGCCGAGTATACAGTGCAATTTTACTGGCGGAATACAGTGCAATTTTACTGGCGGAATACAGTGCAAGTTTACTAGTATACAGTGCAATTTTACGGAATACAGTACAAATGGTATTAGTACATGTATACAGTGAAATCTTACTACTATATACTGTATACTAATACGATTGCACTGTATCCCGTAAAATTGAACTGTACATGTATACTAATACGATTGCACTGTATTCCGTAAAATTGCACTGTATACTCTGGCACCCCTGGGAAAACACTCAGGTAGTCAGGAGGCTACTGGGGGGGGAGGGGGGGTTAGGGATTACCAGGGGTCACTGAACTAGTTTGGAGGGACTTTATGGAGATATTGGCCTATTTGGATGCCAACGGTTTGACGTCATAGCTGAGAAGTGGCCTGAAACTGCTGTGACAGCCGGTTTACTTGCTGTAATCGCGGTTTCCAGATGTTTTTGAGTCTCCGCCAAACCAAGAAGGTTTTTAACTTACGCCAAAAAACAGTTACTCAAGCAACTGGATATGATTTTGGAAACGTCAGACGTTTCAGGTAGCATCCACTACATTTCGTCAGTGACACTGATGAAAGGTAGTGGATTTCTTTGACCAAATTAGTTACGTCGCTGCAAAATTGTAGAAATCGTCAAATGTCTAACTGATAATTAAGCAGAGGACAGGCCGGAGTTACAACTAAACCCCAATGGACTTTGCCGTCCTAATATATATATTTACCACATTTGGCCAGTTTCCAATTTTCCATGCCAGGGACGAAAGAAGTCATGTAATCAGGTGGAAACTGATATTCTGTACAAATCCCTATCGGCCTGTAGTCTGAAGCCATATATCAATTATTTATCATAACCTTCAACTTTCTGCACTCAAAGAATAGGAGCTGATGCTGTCGACTGGTGAATGGGAGGTTTGAAGTCAGGGAAATCCCATTCACCCACTGGTTATCAACATTCTCACACCTCAATACCCGCAAAGCAGTAGGGATTTAAACTAACTATTTCTGGTTGTGTCTGGTTGTGAAGAGGGTTTTGTGTTGACTTCTGTGTGTGTGTGTGTGTGCGCGCGTTTGTTTGTGTGACCTACCGCAGTAAGTAAAACTGAAGGTCAATGTCAATTTTGGCCCTCCAGCGGCTTCCCTTTGTATTCCTGCAAAATTCGGATAGCCTTTGAGCGGGGAAAATTGATATAGGTCCCCTGGCAGCTTCATTTAGAACTGCAGGGGCATTATGTTGAAAAGAACGGATTGATTTTGATGATTTTGAACAACAGTCCTTAAGTTCAGCCGTCTTCACCTCTAATTAGCATGTTAATTTTCATTCTATACGCGCCATTTTCTTTATTTTTGTACTATGTTCAATACTCGTTACCATGCATTGTACCATGTACAATTGTCGTGCAATAAAGTTCTTCTAAAGTTCCTCTTCTAATGCCCCCTCCCCATTATCGCAACTCAAATGTAGATTTCAATACCTCCATTCAAACTGATCTGCCACAGCTTTCATCCCCTGCCTTTATTCAAACACCATTACGCCTTCAGATTTTACAACACACAAAAAAAGAAAAGAAAGAAAATCAACACTTAATACCGCAGCACCGGTGACGTGTTTTTTGTTAGCTTTATTGTACGATACGGAGGTACTTACACCCGAGGTGGGGGGCTCTCCAAAGGTTTACTCGGTAAATATAGACACTGCGTGCGTCGGCACACTACTAATATAGCTCAGGTCACATTTCTAAACCTGGGCCCGGCCGGGCCGTCGTATGGAACGAAAATTATGATATAAAAGACAAGGAAGAGTTGAAAAACATTAATAATGGGAACTATTTGCGTATATTCTTGATAAAAGTTGTTGATTTTTCGTTAATCGAAACAGCCCGGTCCGGACCGTCTCATGGAACGAAAAGTATGATATAAAAGACAACGAAGCACAAAAGAGGTTAAAAAATTAATAATGGGAACTATATTTGCGTATATTGTTGACATAAATTGTTGATTTTTCTTCAATTGAAACAGCCCGGCCGGGCCCCGGTTTGGAAATGTGAAACCCTCAGCATAATCTCCAAGCAGATCCTAGGGTGGCATAAGACAGTATAAAATTGGCCAGGCAGTACCACTTGGGTGGCGTATTGGACCCTCTCTGGCCAAAGGATACTGCCTGGCCAATTTGATACTGTCTTTTTTGCCACCCTAGGATCTGCTTGGAGATTACTAAACACCTGACCTCTCACGTATGTGGCATAATTAAGACAGAATCAAATTGGTTAGGCAGTAACCACTTGGGTGGCGTATTGGACCCTCCCTGGCCAATGGTTACTGCCTGACCAATTTGACACTGTCTTACGCTACCCTAGGATCTGCTTGGAGATTAACCTCAGCATATGATACGAACATTACGGTTCACTGTCGGACGGTAGGGCACTGACTGGGCATAATACATTTTTACGTCAAATTTTCAAATTCTCCAAAGTTACAAAAAAGTCTAATGCTTATGACATACGTCAAAAGCTATGTGGCCTTTTGTATCCCAATTTTTTTTAACCAAAGGCTACAACTACTTATATCATTACTACTTACATGATAACATTTTATGATCTAGATTATATACAAAGTGACATTGCCATATTATGTACAAGCCATGAATTCAAAATGTCATTAACAATATATATACAACGTGGAAATTGTCTGAATCTATACTTCTAATATTTGGAAGACAAGACATCTTTGGTTAACGTCAAATGGATTGTTGCATAGCGATTGGACCCTATAACCTCGATGATTGGACGTACATGTATTTGAACAACTTAAACTTTGCCACTTGGTAATTATCACTTGTCACAGTGTAACGTGTTGTTTGTTACATAGTAACACAGTTTGGAACTGTAGAAATGGTTGCTAACGAAGAAATCTACATGTGTAACCTTTTCATATAACATGACACATCCGATTCACCTGTATCTTGTTTAACAAGACAATTACTTACAAAAAATAAACTTTCACAAAACTTTCAGCTTTCAGTACATGCAAGTAGCCTCTACCAGGCTTCGGGAAGCGGCTAAAAAGAGAAGAAATTAGTCAAATAGACAGATTATGTCAGTGGAGCTGTCTATTTGGCCAATTTCCTCTCTTTTCGGCCGCTTCCCGAAGCCTGGTAGAGGCTACTTGCAAGGACAATGTCCTTTGTGCATGTAACAGTAGCATCAACTTTAAATATCTATCTAGGGCTTCAACCGCATTATAATGAACTTCTTCTCTTGAATAATGTACTTCTTATTCTGAATAACGTACTGAGGAACCCATAAATTCCCAGACAACAATTGTCTGCTGTCTACAGAGACCGTTTAAAGCGGCGTCGTTAGGAAGATAACACCACAATACAATTACAACCACCGGCTGTCAACTACCTACACAAATACTCTGAACATATCCCAGGCGATATATTGCGTAGTCGTACATATTTGCACCGTCTCCACATTCCAATATCGTTCACACGTGTTTTGCAACAAGCAGCGGACTAGAATTGTGGTTATTGCTAACAGAGGGTCATAAATTTTCGAAACACTCAAACAGTCACAGATCTTTGTTCCTCCAAGGAGGTTTAATTAAAGAGACAGACATTTTTTCTCAGTGTTTCCTCAATAAAAAATGATTTGTTCAAATTCAGGCGATAGCTTGGAGTCCAAAGGTTATAATTATACTTTTGGTGACCCAAAAAGTAGAAGCCCGGTATTCAATATTTGCCATTTATTAGCTGATGTTGTCTTTTTTAGAAGAAAGGGCTCACAGGGAACCAAAATGGCAGCCTTTGATTGCGTGAACTTTTCACCCTTGTGAGCCACGTCTCAATCTAATCACATCTGTCCATCTTATGACACTACTGTATTGTAGTCAGCTTGCTGTAGAAAGCCGCTGTGGTCTGGGGTCAGTGTGCCCGTCGGTCTGCGCACACCAACTCCTGCACGACTATCGAGAAAGTGTCAATCTAACCGCTGACTACCCAAACGAACTGTGACACGGCTTTTTTTGCGCGTCGGCATGTCCAGAAAGACCGGCGGTAAAAGTTGTCAATCTAACCGCTGACTAACCCAAACCTACTGTGACACGAGTACCAAGAACCGGATGGCGCAGTTTTGCCGTGCGTGTCGGCATGTCCAGACCGGGCGGTAAACGTTGTCAGTCTAACCAGTGGCTACCAAAACCAAGTGTGGCACGCCGGTGAAGGTTAGACATCCATGTAATAAGAATTACGCCAACAAACAGTTACTCAAGCAACTGGAAATTTGTTTTGGAAACGGTCAGACGTTTCAGGTGGCATCCACTACCTTTTATCAGTGACACTAGAGACTTGCAGGAGACAGTGACACGAGTACTAAGAAACGCCTGGCGTGCTTTTTTTTGCCGTGCGTGTCGGCATGTCCAGATAGACCGACGGTAAACGTTGTTAGGCGGCCGGCAGCGTCTGTCTGGAATGTCCGCTTTCTAATCAATGACCGTGGCTTTGTGGTGGGCGACTGACGTATTTCTAGCTCTGGGCTGTCCGTCAACTTTTCAAAGTACACGTGCGCCGATTTGAACCCTTCCGTAAGCACTGAACAAAGTACAAATAAACGACTTCTGACTTCCACTGTTCTGTCATATGCCACAGTTCGCTCTAATCTATATGATGATCATAAGCATAACCATTCTTAAGAGGATAGAAAGAATATTGGCCAACGAAGAACATGAAATGGGCTGGGATCTCTATGAGTTAGTTAACATTTTTTGTCCTTGTTTTACGTCTAATATCTCACTAGACGTGGTCTCTTGGTGCTGGTTTGCGCTTAAATTGGTTCAGTTGGGAGTCATTTTATTGTCTCACTAGGTATTCATAATTAGCTCTAGGACCTCCGTGCTTATTCCTGGGCGTCCTCCATCTCTTCATGTTTAGCAAATATCTCGTTCACCGACAGCGGAATTTCGCTGGGCAGCAGTTCTCCCTTCCCAAGCCTGAGGTACCGAGCCTTCTTAGCTTCGTCGAAGGAGTCCTTAAAGTTGGGCAAGGTGTGTAAAGTCCTTACATGCCCGTCAGGTGCGTACAGCTCGGGGTTAAACACCGGGTTCGCTAGAAAGTCTTCGACGCTCTGTAGATCGCTCTTCTTGTTCTGCGACCCCGGTGATGACTGTGCTACAAGACTGTTCACCCGTCCAGGCGAGTCTTGGTTAATGTCCGGTAGCACGGGGACTACGGAGTCCATCCGTGGCTCTTCTCCGCCGCGATCCGTACTTTCGATGCTGCTCTTTGAAGCCAGTCTCTTCGCGATCGACTCTTTAACCTCGTCCATGTTGAGTTCCATCCCGTTCTCTCCACGCGGAAGTCTCGGGGAATCTCGCGAGGATTTCCTCTTGGCCCTCTCGTGGTCTACGCCGATGAACTGGTTGACCTTTGAAGATTCAATTCAAGATTCAAGATCACTTTATTGAACATTGGAGTGGGAACACTGAGTTACGTCCAATTTACAAAGTTTAAAAACAACTCACTACAAACAAACGGCATTTTACATAATAAAATGTATCAACAATTCACAAATATTGCAATCTAGAGCAATAATGACAAGTTTATTGCAAATCCATGTCCGAAGTATGTTTAAAGTTACAAAAATAAAAGAACTCTGAAACAGAGTATAAAATAACTTCAAAATGTACATAATGAAATCTAATTGTCTAAAACTATTGCTATGTCTAAAACTATGTCTGAAGGGTTTGACGTCTCTTTTGTAAACTATGGAAGACGTAATGTCCCACCTTTCTAAAAGTTAGAAGTTAAAAGAAGAATAGTTTTTTAATAACTTACAATGGTTAAAACTGGCGCAGCACATCTAAGGGACATACCTTCTCCTGCAGGCTCTTGTTCTGAGCCTCCAGGATCGCCTTCAGTTCTCGGGACTTCCTGGACAGCTCCAGCTCTTCTTCTATGTCTGTTGGGGAGGAGGACAGTTCCACCGTCTTACTGGCAGCGGCTGTGTGAGAAGAAAGATGTAAACTTAAGTCAGAATCATAAGCTGTTGCCATATGTTACCTGGAATTTGAAGAACTTTATTGTACGACAATTGTACATGGTACAATGTTAAACAACAACTACAGTTGTATTAGCTATATTGGCATAGTACAAAAGGAGGTATAGAACTTTTTAAGTTCAGTAAAGGGTGTTAAAACACCCTAATCATTAAAACAATACGGGCTAACAAGACTAAAATATAGTGTTACAAATTTAGTATTAAATTCAGTATATTTCGGGTCTGTTCCTGTAAATTCAAATCTACGTGTCGACGTCATTTGTTGCTTATATTTTCTGTCCCCCCTCTCTTTTGATACAATGATCCACAATACAGCGTTACCATACATCATTTTTGAAATTTTGTCTGTGAAGCTGGAACGGTTGGAAAGCAATATGGGTAAGGGATGAAGTCTGTTATCTGAGTACGAGACTGAAGTGAAGATCCTCACCGGTCCCTCGCCTGGGGCTGATGGCGGGCAGACCCGACCTCCGGACGTCCCGCTCGTTCTCCGCCTCCTGCCCGGAGGACTGGCGCAGGGAGATCTGCGTACCGAACCCGCGCCCGCGCTGGCTGTATCTGGCAGGGGAGACATGGATTAATACAACTCTTCCTTATTTCCCTCCTTTCTTTTCCTTTCTTTAGTCCCGTTCTATCTTGTAACCTCTGTTAGTTAAATCGAATTGGTAGTTTGATAGCACTGGTTACTCTCCAAGCAGATGCCTGGGCTTAGCCTTGTTTTTGACGTGTTTTAGACTCTTTTATCGGGCTTTCTTGTACTGGTGTATATTTTGAAACCAGCCAAACGTCGGGTGGCAAATGGATACTGCCCAATTTGATACTGTCTTTGCAGCCACCGAAAGATCTGCATACTTGGAGAGTAATGACTATACTTTTTTCTATACGATCCATGTGTAAAGCTATAATCTTTATGACTTTTAGCTTGTTGTAACAGAAATGTACAGAAATTGTAACTATATTGAAGAACTATATTGTGTACTAAGAGCCTCCAATCTGCCGACGCTACATGTTTACTCACTTTCCCTCTCGTATCTTCTCCAATTCCCGCTCGATTCTCTTCTTCTCCTTTGTCATAGTGGACAGCTGGTAGGTCTTCACGGCCTCCAGCCCGTGGGAACCCTGGAGAATTAACGGTTAAGTGACGGTTAGATCGAGGAGGTGAACAGAGACGGGGGGCTACACAGGTTATCTCGCACGTATGACCCGCTATTGCGGTCACGTGTCTCTGACGTCACGTTCCAAGAGTAGACGGGTCCATTCCGTGAACAAGGTTGATGGAGTCAACCGCCAATTTGGGGTAAGTCCCAATTCATTGTTGAAGTTAGTGTTGGAAGTTAAAGCTTAGTCTTTAGTTTGTAACGAGGAGGTTTAAATCAAACGTCTAAAGGGGTTGTTTGTAGGGTCCAGAAATGATGAGAAGGCATTCTTTCCTTTGTCATAAGGCTCATAAGGAGGTTTACTAGACGACAGGTGCCCATAGAAAATTTCATCCGACAAAAGAAGACATTTCTGCTTCTAATTCACCTCCAACCCGTGAAAACCCTGAAGAATTAACGTTAAAGTGACGGTTACATCGTGTATGGTCGAATTAGACGACTTAAGAAATTGTACACAGGGTCAAAAAATGATGAGAAGGCATTCTTTGCTTTGTGATAAGGCGGTTTACAGAAGACAGGTGTCCGTAGAAAATCTCAGCCGACAAAAGAAGACATTTCTGCTTCTAATTCACAATTCACTAAGATATCCTATGTGGATGAAAAGGTTTTTCTTTGCGTACTTTTCGACTTTGTTGGTTGTCCTTGCGTGTTTTATGTTTATCCCGCTCAGCTGAACTAAAGGGTACATTCCGCTCAATTTAAGTAAAGGTTTTCCCCCACTAAGCCTGAGTACAAATGTTGCTTCTGCTGTGTCTAAGCCAGCCACAGGCTAGGATTTAAGAACACACGACCGAACGGAGGATGGCCCTTTTAAAGGGACTTCAGAGTAGTAGCTGAAATTCATGCAATACAGTTTCAGGGTGGAAAAACAAGGAAATTTGTCAGCCTCCGTAGCAGGCTTATAGAACTCGGGGTTTGGTGGTCTTCGGCTGTTTTCTGATTAGCCCAGTTCAAAACGGGGGTAATTCAACCAGGCCGGCTATGTTGTCTATATGCAATCAGAAAATGGCACAAAAAGCTCCCAAAGACCCTGAAGATCCCCCTCCCTAGTGTTTGGCATGCTATGGAGGCTAGAAATTTGTCTGATATTGTCTGATACTGCCATTTTTTGTCATCCTCATGAACAGCTACCGACTACGATATATACAAAACAAGCAACCGTTTTCCGTCGGTGACATCGCATTTTTGCCTTACAAATATCAGTATGCCATACGTTAGGGTTGAATCAACTTACTACATCGAAAGAATGACCAGAAAATCGACTTTGAAAATCAAAATCCGATTTTGCCACCCTGAAATTGTATTGGATGCCTTAAACAGAGTTTAGTTAGTAACTTGTCATGTAGGGCCATGTAGGCTAACTTATCCCCGATACAGCGATAGCTAAGGTAATGCTGCCACACATTATAAACACAAATCTCTCCAAGTGGCTTTTCTATAATTCCCGATTTCCGTAATGCTTTAATTGCACTCATCTTCAATCTTCCAGCTTTTGAATTCGAAGATTAGCTCAAATGTTTCCTGAAGAAAAGAAAGTGTTAAGATTAGAACTGCTTGTCTTAGCTACCAAGCCAACATAGCCCAACACGTGCCTCCAGACGTCAGAAGCTTAGATGGGAGACAAAGACGTCTCAGGTCCTAATGTCTTGGCCTGGGGTTGGTCTTAGTCGTTTTATTCCTTAAGAAATAAGCACGTTTCTAAGCCTGTTGCCCTCGGGCAGCGAGTTACTGAGTCTAAATATAAAAGCATTACTGTCTGAATAGAAGGGGTGGGGCACCTGCCTAAATTACTGTAATTTCACTACTGGTTACTTTGTGATCTGGTACCGAAAAAATAATAGATTGGAAAACCTCACACTTTTACTAGTAGCGTTGTAACAAAAGTATATCAGTTTTTGGAAAACCAAGGACATTGTATTATGTCCTGAGGAAAACTATTAATTTATCTCACTTTATTGATGGACAAGATAATTCTGCTTAAGCTTGCCTAATCTAATGTTGTGTAAATACCACGTACGTTTGATAACCTCTATTTACTCCGTACATACACGCGTATATGTGACCAGCTGTGGAAATACGTTTGAGCCGGCAAATAAAGTTTAATCCGCGAAATTTCTGCAGAACTAAGAGAACCTGGAAGCACCTTTTGTCTCCAGACAGGGGAAGTCCTGGTCGATTAAGGGACCAGACTGTTCAAAGGCGCGCTTAATTCGGTAACCTCCAATGTCAATGTTTAAAATTCCTGCAGATATTTGGACAGATTTAGACAACTATGTGGGGTCTCCAGTACAAGCCGATAGGCTTACGCAACTTTTGCTGCTTGTTGTCGTCTTTTCCCCTTCATTGTTGGTGGATCAAGGCTTTAAATTTGATAGTTGTTGGTAGTGCACCCTTAGCTTTGAATAGATTTCATACACCGCATAACTTCTTCTTCAGTGTGCACACATACACAAACACAAGCATAAAGACAACTCCATTGCGTGTACTTCCACCTTAAGTCATTATCTATGCTTCAGCGTGCACGTATACACAAACATAAACCTTCATTGCATGTATACGGCAACCTTTGTCTCTTGCCGTTTTTTAGTGGCTCGACTTAAGCAGGCTTTGCTATTTGTCTCTAGTACATCCTTTGAATAGAATTGGTAAAGCAAATTACCTCTGTTTCAGTGTGTACATATACACACACATAAAACTTCCATTGCGTGCGTTTCCACCTGTTGAACAGAGAGGTCAAACCCCATAATCGCGGCAGAGTCCGGTAATTGTGGGCTTAGGAGGCACAGCAGTACGCACGCAAGGGCGTTCACACCACCTGATCCCAGAGATAAAGTGTTCCTGTATCCATAGCTGTTGATGGGTACCTGTCTGTGACAGTGCCGTTGAAAACATTCAGACCATGGCTAACACCGATCCAGAGGACATTGTCATACCCATGTCAGTGTTATTAGCCTTTATAGCCTTTTTTCTAGAAGAACATTATGCAACTCTTCATCATCCCTTTGTGATTTAATGAAAGAGCGGGGGATTGATTGATCGATTGAATGATTGATTGATTGATGAATAGATGGATGGATGAATGGATGGATGAAGAAAGGTTTGAATGAGTGAATGAGTGGTTGCATGGATTAATAAAGGAGTAAATGTTTGAAGGAATGAATAAACAAACGAATGAATGACGGAATGACTGAATGAATGAATGAACGAATAAATGGGCGAATGAACGAACGAATGAATGAACGAACGAATGAATGAACAAACGAATGAATGATTGATTGATTGAACGAACGAATGAACGAACGAATGAACCCGTACCTCCAGTTTGTGGTTGAGTCTCGCCTGTGAGCGCTTGTTGTACCTCCTGTTCTCCTCGCTCCTTCGGACGATGTCGGCAACAGTCGGCACCGCTCGGCGCCGGGACTGGTACGTCACACCGTTCGAACTCATCCTGCCTACGTCACCGCACACTCAGGTCAGCTGGACGGGTACAGAACAAGGAGTGTGTTGATTTTCTGAAATCTATGCTATTATCGACAGGATCGACCTGTTTATTTGCATCCATGATCTGACATCTCAGTTCAGGAGTTGTTCACTCTCTACACCTACATTGTATTTTAGTTATACGGTTCAGTTTTTGGTTGGTTATGACAATATGTACCTAATATAGTATGTTCTCATAATATTGAGGATCGTAGAAGCACACAAGACAAAACATCATTCTTTACTCCTTTGCGATTAACTAGATAGAGCAATGAATTCAACTTCTCAAAATCAAGGTTCATGATTTGAACAAAGTGATTGAGCCAGCCTCATATGCTTGAGGGAGCTACAGGCCACAAATCTCTGTACGCAAAAAAAAAAAAAAAACCAAACACTTCTCAATAAAGGTAGGGGTCGCCCGGTATGCTTGGCTAAATTGGAGAAATTACGTACACCTATACATTCTTCCCGTCACTGAATGACCAAAATGTATGACATCGTCTGTTTATCTTGTAACAGCGCTCGTACCACTTGAACTGGCACATAACCATGACCGTGAGAACAAAGTAGGTTTTACTGGGAATAACTGCACACCGACACTTATACATTCTCCCTGTCACTGAATGACCAAAATGTATGACATCATCTATTTAACTTAACTTAATTTAACACTGCTAGTTATAGTACCACTTGAACTTTCACAGTAATCATGACCGTGAGATTAAAGTCAGTTTTACTAGGAATAACTGCACACCGACAGACCAATAAATTGATCTATCAAAATCACATGACAGGCGAACCATTGTTTTCGCCAGCTTCCGTCTCAAAGTCTAGACAGCACAATATAATAGTCTCCACCAGACTTCTTTTGCAGGCTGAATAAATCGTAGAAATCGGCCTAAAATGGGTTTTAATTGGCGAGAGAAGGTAGCCGGCCATCGACGATCAAATTGGCCTGTTTTGATCGTCGATGGCCGGCTACCTTCTCTCGATTTCCACGATTTATTCAGCCTGCAAAAGACGTCTGGTGGAGACCAACAATACAATAATTGGATGACAAACACAGGTCATCAAACTTATTGGGAAAAGGTACACTTCGATTAAGGTGAAGGTAGACGGCGATGTGGTCGTAGAAAAAAACGGAGGACCCAAAACCTACCGCTTCTTTAAGTTACCAAAAGCTATCTGCCACCCAAAAATCATGGCATAGAATACGAGATATATAAACCACAAGTTCTACTGCAGTACCAAGGAAAGCCGCCAGGGAGTCAAAAATCTACTTGTTTCTTTGATAAGTGAAGACCTAAGCACATACCAAGTTTCATGACAATTCATTCAAAGCCTCTTAAGTTATCGTGCTAAACCACATGCAAACACACAAACGCCACCCAAAACATAACAGTAGGTGCATATCGTACATGACCGGGACTTAACCTACCAAAAAGACTCAAGAACAACATTTGTAACATTACCTTGCAACAAAAAGAGTTGTAGCATTTTCTAAGATTATCTTGCAACTATCAGAGATGTAACATTTGTAAGATTACCTTGCCACAGTCAGAGCTGAAACATGTCGATCGACAGAGAGCTGGCCTGTTCTCATGTACAAGACGGAAACTACTACAACAGCCGCTGTGGCTATCTAAGAAATCACTAATATACCCTTGTGATGACCCCTATAATTATGCAGTTGAACGGCGCCCATTATGATTGGCGACCACTTAACAGGTAACCAATTATACAGGAGTATCATGGCGCCCCCACGCCCAAATGGGAGGGGCTGATGACTAATTATAATCAATCAATCGTTTAGGACTGACGAGGTGACATAAATAACATTTTGCATGACATTTGCCACCGTTTTGTACACGGATTTTTGTACAAATGCGGTAGTTGCAGATTGGACCCTCTATGGCCGGTCAACTCCCCTGCGAGTTACATTCTTTTTTTAGGCCGATTTCTACTATTTATTCAGCCTGCAAAGGAGTCTGGTGGAGACTACACGTCTAAAGGCTTTCAAAAAGAAGAGCTGATGTTAGCAAAATGTACAACGACGGAAAATGTATCAAGCATCAAAAGGCATACATGCGGTACGATAATGTACTACTAGACTATATTCATTGGAAAAAACGTATTGCATGGCAGAATTTTTGTTGGCTTCTTTCAACGAGTGTTTGCCTGCACGTTCTTGGTACATGTACTTAGCATTGCGAACTTTATGATGTACTAAACTCACTATGGATAAATCAATCAGTGAAACAACTTGAAGCTTTCACGTTTGCCATTTACTGCTATGAAGCACTTATTATTTGATACGTTTGATATCTTGCGCGTGTGCAAATCCACACGTACACACACAGAGTGCCCAATCGTGTAATGTAAAAATAATGGACCTTAGCTACAAGCTCGAAGGTCACTCGGTCGCCATTAGCGCCCTGGACACTTATCCTCCGTAGCAGGCTTATAGAACTGGGGGTTTGGTAGTCTTCAGCTGTTTTCTGATTAATCCAGTTCTAAAAAAACGGGGGTAACTCAACCAGGCCGGCTATGTTGTCTATATGCATTCAGGAAATAGCACATAAAAGTTCCCAAAGACCCCGAAGACCCCAAAACCCCCAGTTTTTGGCATGCTATGGAGGCTAGTACCGACACACAGTGTCCTAGAGTACTCTCCAAGCAGAGGTTGTGCATGGGGGAATGATCTTTTTTTTTTTAATCGCTACCCCACCGGCGACCTTCTCTGGCCAATGGATACTATCTTGCCACCGAAAGGGATCTGCTTGGAGATTAGGCAAATGGATACTGCCTGGCCAATTTGATACTGTCTTTTGGCCACCGAGGAATCTCCTTGGAGATAACCCAATCGTGTAATGTAGAAATAATGGACCTTTGGTACAAGCTCGGAGGTCACTCGGTCGCCATTAGCGCCCAGGACGCTCTGGGTTTCGTCACGTTCTAGTTTACCTTTCTTCAAACATTAACCAAAAATCAGCGGCGCCGCTTTGTTACCTGTACTGATTGATCACCTGTACAGGTGTACCTGACGCACAGGTGCAGGTGAGGAAAGGTGAGTTCGCGCGTGATAAATGAAAAGCGTTCCGGACTCGACGTTCTAATCAGTAGTATGGTTGGGCGGGGGCAAAACAGGATAAAGAGATTATCTAGTAGCGTAGCCTCTACCAGGCGTCGGGAGGAGATTGGAAAGAGTAGAAATATAGAGAGACAACATTCCATGGGAGTTGGTCTGGCAAATTGTACTCTCTAGCGGATCAACTCCCCCGGAATGTTATCTCTCTATTTGGCAAATTTCTACTCTTTCCAGCTGCCTTCCGAAGCCTGGTAGAGGCTAGGGGCGGTGGCAAAACAGGATAAAGAGATTATCTGATAGTGGACTACAAGGCAAATAAAGGTGTTACGTTTCTTTTTTATTCCAACATCTTTTTTTACAAGACATGGCGACGGCACACTCAAGTTTTTTCAACTTATTTTCATGCCGCTACCAACACAGACAAACGCATGAACAGACATACTCATTTTCTCCTGAATAAAGTGAGGAAATTCGTAAAAAATGCCTTTCCCAAGGGCACTAGATCGGTAGGATGGCAGGGTTCGAACCCGGGACCTCTTGGTTCCGAGGCGAACACTCTATCGTTACTCCTCACCACCCCATATAAATAAAGGTGGTTAAGATACGACAAACAAGACGTATATTTTTGACAAAGAAAAGACAAGACACTTTTACTGCAATACGAACCAGAACCAGTCATTGTTGCCCTGAAGAAGGTCAAGTCAAGGTGACAGGCGGACACCCAAACGTCGGATGTGAAAACCCACTGAACCAAAGAACCTCCTTATACAGTCACTTACCAACCTGATGATGTTATTCACGGAAAGAAGGACATAGTTCAACAGAAAGGACGGTCTCGAGTGACAAAACATTACCTGTACGGCTAATAGCCTTTAAAGGGCTCTGTATAGAGGCAGTACAATGTCGTGCAAGTATTTATACAAGATTTAACAGAGAAAAGAGCAGCTAATTTATATCGGGCGCACTCGGTAGTGGTAGCTGGGATCGTGTAGGGTTCGTGTGGAATGACGTAAAATATTGTCTGTTGGGCGTAGGCCACACCAAGTAAATTTTATGGATGACGTCCACGCGCGCATTGATTTTGGCCTACATGTATTCCTGCTTGTAACTATGACCAACGAATCATTGTAAGTTTAGCTGGTTTTTTTCCACGGTTTTCGTTGGATTTTTTTGGTCCCCGTTGTATCAGAATTTTGGCTGTTGCAGATCTCTAGGCGATATCTTTTCCGACATAACATTTGGAAACTACAGACGGGATGTTAACCTTACATACGCGAATACGACCTTATGTGAGACGCTCTGCCGAAGTTCTATGCACAATTCAGTACGTGTTGCAGTAGGTTAGGTTCTGCCGGCAGGCAAGCAGAGGCTGGGGGGGTGGTGGTCGCGGAATAGAGTCACGACCTTACGGACAACAGGAAGTGACGTCTGTGTGTGACGTCAGTCAAAAACAACAAGCCATGGATGATGACGTACAAGTCATGACAAAAATTAACTCCAAATTTATCAGAAAAATAGATGCAAGATAGACGTTTAAAGATGAGAGAAGTTGTTGCAGTGAAAAAACAGGACAGACCAGTGCACATGCCATACTCTCGAAACAGAGGTTTGGATGTTGCCTATTTTTGGCGTGTTTTAGGCTTTTTTTAATATCGGGCTTTCTTTTGTTATTTGCACTGGTATCTTTTGTACGCCTTTACGTTGGATTGGCGTAAAAAAAGATACCAGTGCACAAAAGAAAGCCCAATAAAAAAGCCTAAAAACACGTTAAACACGCCAAAACCCAAACCTCTGCTTGGAGAGTACACATGCCATTCAACTCTGATACGCCTCCAACACAGCGTAACACACACACGCCACACACACGTGCACATGTCGACCGTGGGTGGTACAATACCCACAATAAGGAAGCTTTCAAAGATTTTACTGCTCTTGACTTTGTGGCATGTTTCCTTTTATATTTCCGTGTTTTAGCTGTCACAGTAAGAGGAACTATAAATTAAAATCTACCTTTGTAAGCTAGCTGTATGGAAAATTCCTGTTCGTGTCCAGTAAGAAAGCTTGCAAGACCTCATTGTTGTTGACTTTGTGGCATGTTTCCCTTTATATTTCCGTGTTGATAAGAGGAACTTTAAATGAAAAACTGTCTTTGTAAAGCTGTATGGAAAATTCCCGTTCAAGTCCCACAGGAAGCTTGAAAGTTTTTACTGTAACAGTTGTTGACTTTGTGGCACGTTTTGCTTTATATTTCCGTGTTTTACCTGTCGCAGCAAGAGGAACTGTAAATAAAAATATGCCTTTCAAAGTTGTCTGTGAAATTTCTGATTGTGTAAGTCCAATAAGGAAGCTTTCAAAATTTCATTGTTCTTGACTTTGTGGCATGTTTCACTTTATATTTACGTGTTTTTACTGTCGCAATATAATAAAAGGAGCTGTAAATGAAAATCTGTCTTTGAAAGTTTTCTTTGAAATTCCTTTCCAAGTCCAATAACTGAATAAGAAAGTCAACAGCATGTTTCACTGCTGTTGACTTTGTGGCATGTTCCACTTAGAATTTCCGCGTTATAACTGTCGCTATAAGAGGAACTACAAGTTAAAGTCAACATCGTAACCTGTGTGGGAAACTCCCGTTCGCGTCCGGACACTTTTTCAGAGGCGGAGCTCGTTTGTTTGTGTGTTAACGTTACATGTCATGTCCTTCCGTGGACTCTTCTTTGTTTTGAAAACTTCCGACCATTTCTGGACCATAACATGCCGTGTTAATCTCCAAGCAGATCCTAGGGTGGCAAAAGACAGGTAAAAATTGTCCAGGCAGTATCCATTCGCCAGAGAGGGTCCAATATACTCTCCAAGCAGAGGTTGATGGGGAAAGATCGTTACCTTTCTATACATGTCCCTGTTTTTTTTGGCACTACCCCAAACTCATACACATACACAGAAAGGTAACAATCTTCCCTCTCCTTGGAGAGTAGGTCCAATACCTTTGGGTGGCGTATTGGACCCTCTCTGGCCAATGTATATATACTCGGCCTGGCCAATTTGATACTGTCTTTTGCCACCCTAGGATCTGCTTGGAGATCAACATCGTGAATTGTTCGTCGTTTCCTCCGCGAGTCCCCGGCAACGTGACATGACTCAGAGACGGTTTACCAGTTGTGTCCCGTCTTCTGTACCGGGACCGGGTTAACTTAAATCCGTGTTTGTCCAAACTCAGCTGACCGAATCTCCCGGCAAATACTGTAGTCTCTACCAGACTCTCCAAGCAGAGGTTGTGTGGAAATTATCGTTAGCTTTCTATATATGGCCGTTTTTTTTCGCTACCCCCACCAACCGTCGGTGGCCGGCGACCTTCTCTGGCTAATGGATACTGTCTTGCCACCGAAAGAGATCTGCTTGGAGATCAAATGTAGTCTCCACCAGACTCTTTTGCAGGCTGAATAAATAGTAGAGATCCGCCTAAAACAATCAATGTAGCTGGCCTGTATGCAGGCAAACTGGGCCCTCTCTGGCCGGCCAACTCCTCCGGCCAGCTACATTATTTTTTGGCCGATTTCTACTATTTATTCTGCCTGCAAAGGAGTCTGGTGGAGACTACAAAACTAATACTCCTCTCCAAGCAGAGATTTAGGCTTTAGCTTTTTTCGGACGGGTTTTATGCGTATTTATCGGACTACTATCCTTTTTTGTACTGATATCCTTTTTTTTCGCCAGCCGAAATTCGGGTGCCAAATTGAAAACGTCTTGTCAATTTGATACTGTCTTGACCTAGCCACCAAAAGATCTGCTTGGACAGTAGGCAAATACTAGCCAGACTACCGGACCAACTCCCCTGGCATGCTATCTCTCTATTTGGCCGATTTCTACTCTTTCCTAACGCCTCCCGAAGCCTGGTAGAGGCTAGGCAAAACACGCCGTTCTTTTCTAATTTCGCACGTCCTTTCCCAGATACTAACTTACCTTTCTCTCTGGTGGGAAGACAAGACGAGACAAGATGAAGAGAAAACAAGACAGCTACACAGGCTCTAGACCTGAAAATCCCTGTTAGTAATGTTACTATGGTTAGAGATTGACTCAAACAACCGCGATGTTTTCTAAGAAAACAGGATGTACCTTATTGCAACAGGTAGTGAAATGTGAACGCGTCTTCCCATGGTTAATTCAATATCTGGGAAGCTCTCCAAAACATTCCGCGAATACCCGAATTCTAGTTCTAGTTTTCTAGTGATTTATATTTCACCTTTCTGTTGTATTATGAATACGTGGCTTATATATGTCTTTATTAGTTCTTGAATTGTGTCCTTTTTTTCTGTTTGTGTTATGTATCATTTTGTGAAATGCAATGAAAATTTTTTTCAAAAATACCAAAATTGCGCAGTTTTGCTAAATAAGCTGTACATGTATGCGAGGAGGTTCAATATTTAGGTCCTGCTCCTTGCTATATGGTATGAATTATGAAATTGGCTGAACTGGAAGAATTTGACATTGAAAAGTAATATCCGTAAAATTTATCCGGAACAACACCCTTCGCAAATATGTTATAAAGGAAATAAGCTATATCACTTTCGTATTCAACCAGGAAAGCTTACAGAAAGTGACTTTTGGTCTCACCACATTTTTTCAGGTGTTAAAAAAAGTAGTCGACTAATGCCGTGTTTTTATTATAGGGAGTATTACAATAGGATATGATAAGTGCGGTGGATTCAAATGTAGATCCATAATCGCCCAGAGACCGCCCCAAGTCCCAAATGGCGACACCTGTTTTCTCAACAATTATCATATATTAGGCTGTGTCTATACGGAATCACCCAAACCGCGATTCGGGTAACTCACATTCCTCACATCTGGTCCACGTGCCACACACACCTGCGAAACCGTGTCCGAACATAATGCGCTTGAGCTACATTTATTGCTGTTTGATGATAACACGCAAGGCGGCGTGTTATTAATGTCAGAGGTCAACGACCTGCTTGCTGATGCCCCCCTCCCAGCGTATCTCGGCCGAATGCCGACGTGGTCCCGCCAGAGGCGGTGAAGCTCGCCCTAGAACGGACACATTATTTTACCATTACTGCTCTTTAAGTTGCTGCCACGTAAAAGTTGGTATTGCATATAAAAAAAGAAATATCACTCCGTAATCCATGACCAGACAAAGTCACATTGAAATCACATTGCGTTCAGACGCAAATCGCGATGCGGGGAAACCGATTCGAAACCACCTCTAGAAGTGGCTTGGGATCGAGGCGCTTTCAATGTGATTTCGGAGCGTTCAGATGGAGCCACTTGAAACCGGCTTCGGGGTAAACCACATGTAAACCGCCTTGGGTGATTCCGTTTAGACACGGCCTTAGCCTCCGTAGCACTAGCAGGATTATAGAACTGGGGGTTTGGTGGTCTTCGGCTGTTTTCTGATTAGCCCAGTTCTAAAAACGGGGGTAATTCAACCAGACCGGCTAAGTTGTCTATATGTAATTGGAAAACAGAACATAAAAGATCCCAAAGACCCTGAAGACCCCCCAAACCCCCCAGTTTTTGGCATGCTATTGAGGCTAATGTATTACCCAGGGCGACTCAAGTACTGTACACACACCGTGGTAATGTAATTGGTGCACACATGTCTGACCACATGTACTGCAGTTGACCGGTTTTGGGATCGTAAAAGTTTCAGCCATGGCTTTTACAGAATTGACCATCGACAAGAATTTACTCAAACCTTTTCCGTCACAGCTGAAAACCACCCAAGACTGTCCCAAAAATGTAGCCTCTATCAGGCTTCAGAGGCGGCTGGAAAGAGAATAAATTGGCCGAAATAGAGAGATAACATGCCAGTTTCAGAACGGCAAACTATATACCTCCAGCGGACCAACTCCCCCGGCATGTTGTCTGTCTATTTGACCAATTTCGACTCTTTCCAGTCGCCTTTTAAACCTGGTAGATGCTGCCAAGATTAAAAAAGCCCCTATTTGCTGTTCTCAAGCTACGACGAACGCAATTTGTGGTTGAAGATGCAATCTCGACGTTAACTTATTTCCGTTTTTTTTTCAATCAGTGACAAAAACGTAGCCTCTACCAGGCTTGGGGAGGCGGCTGGAAAGAGTAGGGGTGCGACAAAATGTTCTCTCAACGGACAAACTCCCTTGGCATGCTTATAGCCGATTTCTACTCTTTCCAGCCGCCTCCCGAAGCCTGGTAGAGGCTAACAAAAACGTCCCTAGCAATGTTTTGACCAAAGAGTACAGACAATCAGGCATATTTCCATCGCGTATACCTCGTCTGTGAAACATCAACGGCCGTAACTTAATTCCGAGTGACAAAACATCGCCTGTGTCATGTGTGCGCGACCTCTGTTCACACAAAATACGTTCCCACCCACATTCTCATTCAACAATTCTCTTTCAGCTGTTTTCCAATACTGTAGCGTTCCACATATCACAGGTAGTCTGCTTAGAACTGTAGTTCTATACGATTAGCCTCCGTAGCAGGCTTATAGAACTGGGAGTTTGGTGGTCTTCGGCTGTTTTCTGATTAGCCAAGTTGTTAAAAAACGGGGGTAATTCAACCAGGCCGGCTATGCTGTCTACATGCAATCAGAATATAGCACATAAAAGCTCCCAAAGACCCTGAAGACCCCCCCCCCAAAAAAAAAGCCAGTTTTTGGCATGCTATGGAGGCTAATATATGATGAGCAACGACCGAATGTCGTCTAAATACATGTATAGAAAGTCTGAATAGCTTACCAGCATTAGGGTGATGTTTTAAACCGAACGCAGTCAGTCCACACTAGTTGCCGACCCTAGGCCCTGTACGTTCTGTTGTGGAGTGAGCAAAGACTACATCACATGTACCGAGTGCCGTCTCGCCCCTTCGAATTCACTCACTCCGCAAATAGAGACGCCACAACTCCGAACTCCCGCAGATTTTACCGTCGAAAATCAATGATATCCACTGACAAAGCCTGTATGTACGTCTGCTGTGATTTCTTGGTAAATCTGGCCACCGTGTTTTTTAATCCCGATCCAGAGCGGGTGCGCCCGTACTCGGTGAATGGGCACGTTGTTGTGCGGCCCGCTCGCTATACACATAGTAACCGATTAACTTCTTTTCTTATCCAAATCAAAAGGGTGGGCAGGCCTGCATGGCCAACTGATGTAAACAACATGATACTCGTCACTACGATATAAAATTGTCACGGCATATCATGGACACAACAGTAAGGACTTATCATGTGTTTATGAAATGCCCAGGTAAGGAAATTGTCATTATTTTTTCGTGCAACAGGCCTAAGTTTGCGACAGTAAGTTTAGGACATTCTTAAAACAGTCTTGGTTATGCTTGCGTTGGTTGTCTTGTAGTTGTAGCGAAAAAGTTATGGTAGATCTTTGCCGACACTCGGGCCTGCCATAGCCTCCAAAAAATCATACAACAACAACAACAAAAATCCGAATGTAACTTCGCCTGTGTTCTTAAAAATGGGGAAACAAAGTTCACGTAGCCGTTTGTTTTTGGTTGTTTTCCTATATGGTTAACGTTGTGACAGGTGTCACAACTTGGCGCGCGCCTCCTAGCGCTCGAAAAATACAACTACAGGCAGGCAGCAATTAGGTTCAGTCAATAAAAAAGTGTTTTCCGACGTAACAGAGTCGTTAATTACAGTAAAAAGACGGCGATATTTTCTTTGCGGCGGAGACGCGGTCACGCATCTATGCACGATTTACAGGCCAACAGTTCACTGTCAAGCAAGTGGAACATGTTACGGTACAGGGTTTCAGGATAATATGTGTACTTTTCTTTCACTCTGCGCTCTCTTCGAGAGGTGGCGCCCATTCAAAACACGGTCCTTTCTCTCTCGTTGACAGTTGGAAAGGTTTTTTACGCCCGGTAAGCGACCAACAAGGGTGCAGCATATTGTTGTACGCGCGTTTGGTACATTAGCTAGTGTTGTACAATTGTGTTAGGTAGTCAGAATAACATATTAGCTATATGGGTCACATAACCGGAAACGAAAAAAGGCGGTCCATTGCACGTGTGCATATTATTAAAGGAGGAATGAGGGAGCGAAAGAAGGCAAAACAGATGAAAAACTGAAGTTAAGATGAAAGAGAGACAAGGAGAAGTAATTACTAGTATTAGAGAGATTAAAACACAACAAAAAGAACTGAAGTTAACAACAAACTTAAAAGCTACATAGAGAAAATTGCCGATTCTACCAGATCAGAGTCTAGCCTCCGTAGCAGGCTTATAGAACTGGGGGTTTGGTGGTCTTCGGCTGTTTTCTGATAAAACGGGGGTAATTCAACCAGGCCGACTATGTTGTCTATATGCAATCAGAAAATAGCACATAAAAGCTCCCAAAGACCCTGAAGACCCCCAAACCCCCAGTTTTTGGCATGCTATGGAGGCTAATCAGTCTCTACCCTGACATAAAGATATAGTGTCACTGGTATGTATGTGTGTGTGTGTATGTTTGTAGTTGACCTTACGAAAGCCGTTGTACGTTTTTGTTGTGTCAATAAAGCTTCTATGTTAAGTTCTATAAATAAGCTGAATCCCTCCAGGCGACCGCCCCATGGACGTGCGACTTCGCCATATTTCACTGCACTGTGTCATGTTTCATAGGCATAAGCATGCCTAGGCACGGCCGTATACTTTCCAGTAAGGTACTATGGAGAGGGCATGTGTTCAAACGGACTGTTCAGATAATTGTTTACAGCACCAAGTGATTTTAGGACAGTAAAACGGGATATTATATAAGTCAATTTTCTTGGCATTGTTTAAACGTGGTAAGTTGAATCAACCCTATCCCATAGCATACTGAATCTCCGGGGCAAAAATTTGATGTGGCTGCATGACGGAAAACATGTCCTACTCGCAGGCTATCTATTGGTGGTACCAAAAGATAAAGGGATTCCTCACGTAGCTTGTTTTTGGGGCTATTTCAACGCTTCAAGTACGGAAATGTCAATATTAGACAGAGTTTTGCTAGCATCCCATTTTAGAAGGTTGTCTTTTTTTTATATCAGGAAGACCGTTTGAAACAAAAACTGAAACACTAAACAAAGTTTGTCTCCCAACATCTGCTTGTAGATTTCGCTCTCTGCAGCCAGCATACCTTACTTTATTGACAGAACAGTGCCACAGACAGTGTTTCCCAGGGACGAAATGGACTTATTCGTTAATTTGGTAAATTCCGTTTCCTGCGCTCTCACGACACTTAACGTATTCCGAACCAAAGTCTGGTATCCAGGGCGACTATTGTTCTACTTTCTATGCCTGTAGGATTTTAAAGGCATCCAAATTTCAGAGCAGCAAAACTGGAAATATCCTGAATAAGGCAATCTTTGTGATATTGACACATACTGCTTCACATTAGCACGTTTCAATCAGTATTTCATACTTCAGGCATTTAAAACTGCAGAAACAGCCCCCAAGATGAGTCTTTTATTTTCGGGGAGGTACCCTAAAAATCAGCCAAGGGCCCTTCCAGTAACTATTTTCCGTCAGAATTTTGGGTATTTTTGCTCCATGGGAGTCAATATATATTGGGACAGTGTGGTTTCGGCTTAGTATGTAACGTTACATGTAGATAAGAGACTAGAATATTGACTTTGAAAAATCGGGCTTCCATGCCCTAAAAACTGCACTAGATGCCTTTAAATATTCAGACAGGACGTCGAAGTAACAACCTGTTCACGTTAATGTCTCATTCTTAGCAGGAAAATACAAAATTTGAGAAGTATATTTTTAGAAATATAAATGGATTACAAACCTGGCGACCCCAAACCACGGAGACTGTTGTAGTTTCTATGCCTGTCGGATTTTGAATATTCATACAGGAAGTCGAAGTAACAAACCTGTTAACGTTAATGTCTAATTCTTAGCAGAAAAAATATTGACAATTTAAAGAATTCGCATGCAATGTTACCAGATGACATATTTCAATAGTCAAGCCTGATTTTTTTACCACCATGTAACTTAGATGTAATTTTAGGGTAGTTGGGGGTGTATTCTACACACACACACACACACACACACACACACACACACACACACACACACACACACACACACACACATACGCACACACACACACACACACACAAACAGTCCTTACTCACTAATCCAGCCAAATTTCTTTCCTAACAATAGATATATACATCATTTATATAAAATTTAAGAAATATAAGTTATATTGAGAAATAAAAATGGAATGCAAACCTGGCTGCTCCGAACCAAAGTCTAGTCTGGTAGCCACGGAGACTATTGTTGTTACTTTCTATGCCTGTCGGATTTTGAATATTCAGACAGGAGGTCGGAATTAAGAACGATCGCTACTTGCTCAAGTAATTTTTGCCCAGACAAAATTCTTATTCAGAAACAAACGATTTAGTGTCTCATTCATTCAGCAGAAATGACATGACTATTCAGAGAATATTCAGAGAATGCTACAAGATATATAAGTAATTTCTAAGTCAAGATATGCTAGTTGCCACCAAGTCAAAACTATTTTAGGGGGAGGGGGTAACGTTACATGTACACACACAAACAACCCTCTATCCGACCGCATTTCTTTCCTATTCCAACTATTTTAAATGTCCAAGTCAACGTAAGTCTTCGATAGATCCATAATCATGTAACATACACGCCAAATTCTACCCGTAACACACCGGAAACCATGGTGACATCGCCCGATTGCAAATCCTTGCTTCGTGACTGTACGAGCCAACCTTCTAGCCTCCGTAGCAGGCTTATAGAACTGGGGGTTTGGTGGTCTTCGGCTGTTTTCTGATTAGCCCAGTTCTAAAAAACGGGGGTAATTCAACCAGGCCGGCTATGTTGTCTATATGCAATCAGAAAATAGCGCATAAAAGATCCAAAAGACCCTGAAGACCCCCCAGTTTTTGGCATTCCATGGAGGCTACCAACCCTCGTCCTAGCTTGAACCCGACCCACATTCACCAACCCCATTCACAACATGTGTGTCTGTACTAGCCTCTATAGCATGCCAAAACTGGGGGTTTGGGGGTCTTCAGGGTCTTTGGGAGCTTTTATGTGCTATTTTCTGATTGCATATAGACAAGATAGCCGGCCTGGTTGAATTACCCCGTTTTTAGAACAGGGCTAATCAGAAAACAGCCGAAGACCACCAAACCCCCAGTTCTATAAGCCTGCCACGGAGGCTACATGTATGTCTGAACAATGTACTTACAGATCCGCCAGCCTTCCACACTGAACCTGCCACCAGAGGAATACAAAATCTTCTGAGAGAGTCTACAGAATAAAGACTTGGGGGAAAATTCAAAGAGGAAGCGGAGATATTTTGGGGATGACACAGCAAAGGAAGTGCGAAGATCCACTGCTAAACCTGTTGACACAACACTCACATGTTTACGGAAGTATTCCAAAAACTATGAGGAAAGCACCCTATAGGTGAATAGACAATCACACAGGCGTACAAGGCAGACTAGACATTGAAATGTTGACAAAAGTCTAAAACTTGAAGCTATTCAATTCATAGACAGCTTCGTAAAATTGCTACATATAATCAGAGCAGACTGAACTAGACGGATAAAATTACATTTGCAGACCAGAGATGCTACATTCAAATACTCTCCAAGCAGAGGTTTGGGTTTTGGCTTATTTTTGGCGTGTTTTTAGGCTTTTTTATCGGGGTTTCTTTTTTGCACTGGAATCTTTTGTTGGGTTTGTGTAGAAAAAAAAAGATGCCAGTGCAAAAAGAAAACCCAATAAAAAGCCTAAAAACACGCCAAAAATAAGCCAAAACCCAAACCTCTGCTTGGAGAGTAACATTCAAACTCTGGTAACATTAGATCTATAACGTTATAACGTTATAGGTCATTTATAGAACATTTGAGAAAAATATATAAATGGAATTCAAACCTGTTCATAATAAACGTCCCCTAGAGCTTTCAGATCGTCTCGGACTGTTAATACAGTCTGGATAAGAAATAGATCCTGCTTTTCTGACACACTCCGAAGACAAACATTTCCTATTCAGTTTTCACGGTCACGTTTCAACCCAACATTCGAATTCAGGCGAGTGGGGACTGTTCGTTATGTATGGTCGTCAGGGTATATGTAGCTATGTGTTTAATATTATTGTACGTGTAAGGAATGCAATGAGCAGAATTGTTGTTTTCGTGTTCACTAACTTTATTCAAACATACATCAATTTCATACGCCAACAACACAGACTTGGAATCTGCCAAGCAAAATACATACATTACAATTACAAGTTAATCATACAACAGCATGTCAGACCTTTGGTTACATACACCCTTCTTTTCCAACAATAATGAGTCAGAACATTGGACGAAAGAACTTATCGTGAAACATGGCTATGTCAGGTACAGGTGCATAATTATGTTTACCGAAGGAAAACATTGTTTTTGCTACGTTTCAGCTTCTTCTTCTGTTTCAAACACTGACCTCTGGTGTGGCTAATGACCTGATTTGTTGACGTCTGTCACCATGGTAACTGGTGTTGGGTTACAAAATGTTGCAATTTTATCAGTAGGAGGGATTTAGACTCCTGTCTGACCATATATGTGAATGTGCTTGAGTAAAAATTAACAGAGCAGACCATATGCGAAGGTAAACATTATTATGCATTTGCTTTGCAAATGTTACTTTTCTAATTACACAATTGAAGTTAAACAACTATTTTCTGCTATCCTGTGTAACTTAATACAAACAAAATAAATGCCTCGATTCACAAGCCCTAAAAAGTATTGCCTTGCAATATTGTATAATAACAATTAAATGAGAAAATATGCTGTTTTCAGCCACGTGACTGCAACACGTAAAAATATTTTGTACATGTAAACATAAATACAGTCATACCATTTTGTGACAATAAGTTACACCCACACAAATTTGTTGGTCTGTCTCTTTCAGGTTCAGCCAATCAGCACTGAGTGTATGACGTCACGGGAAAACACCATATACGGTCCTAGTAATACTAGAGTTGACAATCATTACTTTTTATGTGAAACTAATGGAATGGATTTTCACTTTTTACCATCCCAGGGCTCGAAATTCATTTTTGGAAAAAGGTGCACTGGTGCACCCAACCTAAAAAATTAGGTGCACAAAATATATTTTTTTTGTGCAATATACACAATAAAACCTTATTACAGATCTTACTGATCCTCTTCTAAGCTTGAATATGAAATCTTTCAGAACTACTACAACAAAGATTTTTTTCTGACAGATTCCAAGAATATCCTGTATAGTATTATACATTTAGTTTGTAAAATATACGTACAAAAATATTTGGGTGCACCCTCAGAAATAAATTGGTGCACAGCTCCAAATTTGGGTACACTAAGGTGCACATGCACCCAAACCTGCCATCCCTGCCATGGTTGTGGTGCAGCGCTATTTTGTTGATGATAGGTACTCGTACTCGTTTGAGAGTTACTTTTTGAATATAAAGATAGCGCTAGCCCCACAGTCTTTCAAGTCGTTGGTTGGCTTTTCTAGAGCGGGACATCCTTTTTCTGTCATCCCAAAGTACGAGTAACTTTTTGTCGTTCGCCGTTCTTGTTCAATGGGGCAAGTAGGGAGGTACGTATTGTACAACGGAACATCCGTTAATTTTGCGGGGCTGGTGCATTTCAGGACATCTTCAAAGAATGCCAAGAAAAGGGGACCTTTTTTGAAATCGGCTGTACACTTGCCTGGCCAGCATTGGCGGAACTCTTTCGCCATTGCCACCAGCCAAGCTATGCGGCAGTCACAGTGAATAGGGTTACCGTGGATAAACACTCGTAGCAACGTCCGAAAATAATTTAACAACGTGCTTCCTTTCGGCTCAACACTCTCAGAGATCCCCAAATCAGAACCCGAGAACGTAGTCAGCTTGTTGAAGGCTACATTCACAGAACCGAGGTACTTCAACCCATGGCGCATGGCTATATCAACCCTGACAACAGTTAACTGGTTATGTGACAAGTCTAGATTGGCTAACCGCTTCATGTACTTTAAAGACTCCCACGGAAATTCTGTGAGGAGGTTGTAGCTTAGATTTAAGTTGCTGACTTGTGGAAAGTCGGACAGGTTGCCGATTTCTCGGATGCGATTTTGCGGCAGATAGATCTTGTAGATAAAGGGTCGTGGGTGGGTGGGTAGACTGGTGATGTTGGATTTGGGACAGATTATGTCGAAAGTGAGGAATTTTTCCACGTAACACTCAACAGGAAACGTGTCATTGACGATTCCTGCACTTGTTGTGATCACCATCGTAAAAGCGAAACACACCAAATATTTCAAAATCATGGCGAGCTCTTAGAATTTTACCTTTTCGATCTCAGAATTGCGATTTTTATATTAAGATAACGTTGCTAGGGGTCCGCAAGTTCTGTTACTGTAGATAATCCCCAATGTATTCAAATGACAGTCAATTCTTTTACAGCGAAAGGCCCTTAAAATACTCGCTAGCTATAGTGAGCTAGTGCAGAAAACTGTCACGGTCACGGTTTCCGGCCCGCCTGGTTTGGTCTCCTTCAGCTGATGATGGCCAATATGTACTCCTACACGGAGCTCCGATTCTACAGTAACATATACAGTACATGTATACATGCAATACAAGTGTGCTAAAGAACACTAAAAGTCTTCCCAAGACGGTGGATTCATCATGAAAACTCGTAACTATTACTAAACAACAAGCCACCATAAAAACGACAATGTAGTATATGGGATGAGACTGTATACTAACTAGCACAGTCTTCAGTGGCTAACACTAACCCAGCTTCTTGTGCACTAGTGACCTATATCTACAATACAAGGCTGATTACAAGTCAGTATATACTTACATTTTGTCCTTAGACATTGAGATAGATTCTATATATTGCGATAAATATAATTATAACATTTAGTTTAAAATGATACAAGCATCTTCTATGAGTTCTGGACTACTTGACAGTTTTCTTCAGAGCAATAATGTAAATGTCAACACAATGTACCCTATATTTATACCCTATGGCTATAACCTTAAACTCTTCAAGTCTAAGGTCAACAAACATTTGTCCTCACTGGCTGTTCTGTAACTCAAAACATGTTAAGTGGCTCCCATGAGCCTTGTTTTGTGGTGACCGATGAAGTAAATAAAAAAAAATAGTTACCGTAGTTCCTACCTCAGTTAGGACGGTTACAATCTAGGTTCCCCTTGTCCGCAGTTCCAGGTCTTGCTTATTGCCTGTGGACTGTCTGAAGCGCAGCCCGGAATGCAGTGCCGCAGACTAATTAAGCGGTACATGTGACAGGCAGGAAGCCCACGCGAAGAGTCACTTCCGTATTCATTATGTACATGAAAATGTAGGTGTTATTATGGTACAAGCAATTAGCCTTCGGGCATGATTTTGCAAATAAAGTTTCAAATTAATTATTGGTCTCTCTCTCTCTCTCTCTCTGTGTATGTGTGTGTGTGTGTGCGTGCGTGTGTGTATGTGTGTGTGTGCGCGTGCGTGTGTGTGTTTGTATGTATGTATGTATGTATGTATGTGTGAGTGTGTGTGTGTTTGTATGTATGTGTGTGTGTGTGTATGTGCGCGCGTGGTTGTGTGTGTGTG